GGGGGGCGGTACCCACCTTAGCGGTGACGGTGTGCTCCCCAAAGTGCCGGATCAGGTCCCCCTGCATCACCAGGGCCAGCTGCTCCTTGGACAGCAGGGGCAGCGCCGCGCCCAGCAGGCGGAAGCACAGGTAGCTGAGGGGTGCATGGCAGAGCCTGGTCAGAGGCCTGGCCACGCTGGGTGGACTCGGGGCCCGAGCCCGCCCCACCACCAAGCCGGGGAGGGGGTGCAGAGGACCAGGGCCCCGCGCACCTGGCGGGCCAGAACTGCTTCTTCAACAGCCCCTGCTCCACAACTTCCTTCCAGAACCGGGCGAACCTGCCCTCCTGCAGCGACAGGCGGAGCAGGTCCAGGGCCACGGCGGGCAGCTTGCGCTCCTTCTTCACAGAAGAAGCTGCCGTCTTCAGGACACTCACCAGTCTGGGGGGGGGGGGGGGGGGGAGGGGACTCAGGGGGCGTGGGCCAACCAGACAACAGGGTCCCCGAGGGAGCCCAGCCTCCCACCTCCCTCACACCTGGGGATGTTCTCATCTGAGAACAGGTTGACTGGTCCCATCAGCTCCTTGAGCTTCTCCGGCACCTTCTGCTGGGCCAAGAGGAAGAGCTCCAGGTGCTCAGGGGAGCCCAGCACTGAATTCAAGTCCGCCTTGAGGACCTTCGGCAGGATCGCCTGCAACGTGGCTTCTGGAACCTGGGGTGGGGACACAGGTTCGGGGAGGGTCGCTCCCTCCCAGCATCCTGTGCCACTTCCCCTGTGAAGTGAGCCCTATGAGCCCTGTTCCACCTGCAAGGCTTCTGTGAGGCCCCGACACAGTGCCAGTCCGAGGCGGGACAGCCACCATCCACCCTGCTAGGCACCAGAATCATGAGAAGGTGTTTGTTAAAAACCTCACCCCGCCTCCAGTCCTGGGAACGTGGGTTTTTAATAACTATCCCACTGATGCTAATTAGCTACCCTTTTAATTGTTCTTCTTTTGGTTTTTTTCAGGACTAGTTCATTCTCTTTTTTTAAGATTTGTTAGAGAGAGCAAGAAAGAGTGAGCACGAGCAGAGGGAGGAATAGAGGAAGAGGGAGAAGCAGGCTCCCCACCGAGCAGGAAGCCAGACGTGCGGCTCCATCCCAGGACCCTGAGCCGAAGGCAGATGCTTAACCACCTTAGCCACCCAGGCGCCCGAAGGGACTAGCTCATTTCTTATACAAGGTGCCCCAAGTGGAGAGCTGGGATTTGAATTCAGGTCCTTGCCTCTTCCTCAAGAGCAAAGGGTTCTAGGTACTGGCCGACCTCCATTTCCCAAGTAGGGCAGCGGGGCCCTGGGGGGTCAGCTCTGTCCAAAACAACAATGGCAAATGTGTTTAACATGCTTGCCACATGACAGGTGCTATTCTAGAACCGTGCCGTCCAACATGGCAGCCACCGAGCTCTCGGAATGCCCTCATCTGAGGGGAGGCGGGCCCTAAATACAAAATACGCACTGGAGTCTAGTGACTTGATGTGAGCTGAACGTAAAAAAACCTCTGCAAACTTTTACACCGACTGTGTGTTGAAACTTTACTTCAAATGCGTTAGACTAGATACCTTCCTACAGAATGATGCTACTCTAGAGCATTTATGTCTCCCCTGCTCTCTCAGCATTTCTACCCGAGGGCCCACGCTGCTAAGCCTATACCTCAGAGAGGATGTCCACCAGGGCCTTCTGGGGCTGTTCCTGCAAGTGGTTGTAGTGCTGGGCCAGGGTCTGCAGCAGCTTTATTGACTTCATCAGTGCCTCTGAGTCCTGGTGCCCACAGAGGGAAGAAGATTATGAGCAGGGCATGCCACTGTCCCCCCACGCCCAAGCCCGGCCTCACACCCCGACTCCAAAGCTCTTACCTTCACCAGCCTGCCTGACTGAAAGAGGGCTAGAACTCCAAACAGGTTTGCAAAAAGAGCAGGTCTCATCATTGCCTAGAAAAGGATTTCAGGCATCACTGAAAAGGGCCCAAGGAACCCCACCCTGGGGCTGCCAATCTCCCTAAGGCCACTAACTCTCACCTTCTTAACTTTCTGCAGGTCATGCTTCTCTTGTATCTGCTGCAAGACGCCGCACAAGGGGATGTCTTCGAAAGACTGTAACAGCTGCCAGGGGTTTGGAGCAGGAGGGCGAGCGGGGTTCAGTGAGGGGAGGTCCAGCCCCACCCAGCAGACCCCCACCTCCTCCCAAGTCTCCCATCAACTTCTGCCCAGAGGCCCTGGTGCCTCTGAAACTGCTCACCCCCCCCACCCCCACGAACAGTGCTGGTGTGTGAGCACTGCTGCTCAGAGGGAGCTCAATCTTGTCTCCCTGCCTCAGGCCCACCCAGGCTTCGGGAAGTACCTCCTTTGGCTGAGACTCCCGCTCTATCTGCACGGCCGGCCTTGGGCTGCCCCCAAGGAGGTTCTCAAGGGGCTGGGTCTTGAATGCCCTCCCAGCTGCCCACGTGCCTCAGGGGCAGCCTATAACCAGCTGAGTGCCCCTGGAGGGGAGAGAGCCCTGAACCTTGCAAAGGCAAGGTAAGCCACCCCAGAGCTCCCTATGCCCAGTAAATGCACCACGGAGACTGGCCGACCCACGTGCCCCAAAAGAAAACCTCCGCACCCTCCTAGCGCACCTGCTTCTCTGTACACAGGCCTTGCTCGGACACTTTCGCACCCCCACGTGCGGACGCCGAGCCTCAGCTCAGAAGCCACCTCATCGAGCGCCCGGACCCCTGGCCCCGCTCGCAGCTGAGACGTCCGCCCTCCCCACTCCCCACCGCTCCGAGCAGCCCGGCCCGGCCGCTTCCAGGAGCCGCCACCTCACCTGCGCCAGGGCCAGACTGTAGCAGGGCCGGGCGGTTTCTCGCCCGACCCCGAGCCCGGTGATCAGGCGCTTCAGGGCGTACTTCATCTCGGATCCCTGCCGAACCAAGCGCGGCGAGAGCAGTGAGAACGGCCGTCCGCCTCCCGGGCCGCGACCGCGCGTCCCGAGCCCCAGCCCCCCGGGCCGCCGCCGCTCCTCGGCCGGAGGCACGGGGCCCCCGGCCCCTGCCCGGCCACCGCACCTGGGGCCTCGCGCGCAGGTACTCCAGCAGCTTCTCCGTGGCGCCCAGCCGCGTCTCCTGCTCCGGCTTCGCGATGTCCCAGAAGAAGTCCAGGAACTCGCGGCTCTGCTTCAGCAGGCCCTCACGGTCGGCGGGCTGGGGGCCGCTCCTGGCCGCGCCCCCGGGGGACACAGACTCAGCCAGGCCCCGGCTCTCCATCTCCGCCATGCTCCGCGAACACGTGGGCTCTGAAGACAGCCTCTTCCGGGTCAGGTCGCGGCGCGTGCGCGCTGGCTAGGCCGCGGGGGCGGGGCCTCGCCGAGCAGGGGGCGGAGCATAGCCGCCTGGGGGCGGGGCCTGGTGCGGGGCCAGCCCCGCCCTGGTGCATTTACGGGGCGTGGGGGGGTTATTACTTTTTAAAAAAGATTTTATTTATTTATTTGACAGAGAGAGAGAGACAGCGAGAAGGGAGCATGAGCGGGGAGGAGACGGAGAAGCAGGCTCCCCACTGAGCAGGGAGCCCGCCGCGGGACCCGATCCCGGGAACCTGGGAGCAAGACCCCATTGGAAGGCAGACGCCCAACTGTCGGAGCCACCCCGGTGCCTCTATTTATTTATTTTAAGATTTACTTAAATTTTTTGGAGAGAGGGGAGGGGCAGAGGGGGAGGGGGAGAGAGAGAGAGAGAGAGAGAGAGAGAGAGAGAGAGTCTCATGCAGACTCCCCGATGAGCGGAGCCTGCACCCGGGTTGATCCCGCGACCCTGAGATCACGACCTGAGCGGAAACCGAGAGTCGGACACTTATCCCACGGAGCCACCCGGGAGCCCCTCACTCTGGGATTTTAGTCTGAGCGCGGTAGGGAAGTTGGAGGGTTCTATGCAAGGGCAAGCCTTGATCCTATTTACATCTTTAAAAGATTCCTGGGCGCTGCGTGGGGCATGGGTTGCAGGATTGCAGAGGGAGAAGCTGGAAGCATGCTTCGGGACCGTGGCGGGTTGGAGCGAGGTGAAATGAGCAGGTCGGAGCCCAGCCAATTTGGAGCCGGCTGGGGGGGTGATGGATGTGGGGGTTAACATGACTGGGTCGACGGTGGTGCCGTTCTCTGAGCTGGGGACGTGAGTTCTACGAAATCAGAGAGGACTGTTGCAGTGGCAGGGAGGAGTGCTGCGGGTCACCCCTGCACCTGGACTGCGGAAGCTGTCTCTGGAGGGTTGTAATCCCGGGAGACCCCAGCCCTGGGGGACGTGGGAGGCGGGACCAACACCGCCCCCCCTTTAAGTCCCACGCCCCCAGCTCCAGCTCCTTTCGGCCTCACTGGTCCTCCTGTCACCCCCTTCCTTGCTCTGCTGTTTTAGGAAGTGAGGTGCAGACGTTTACCTTATGTACATGGTGCCCCAGGAGCAGAGGGTGAGCAGAGCAGGGGAAGCTGGAAGACAGTGGCCCAGGCTCTGCCCCTCCGGGTGTGGGTCTGCTGTGCTGCCCAAGGGGGAGGCCACGACACCAAGCACCTCACAGGCCGGTGGGAAACTGGGAAGCAGGAATGGCACAGGCATCCAGGAGATTGGATCTTTATTTTGTTTCCAGCTCAGCTGAGAGAGATTGGCAGAGAGTGGCCTGAAGGGGAAGAGAGAGAGGCCAGCAGTACCCCAAGCTGGGCCTGGAGCCAACGCAGGGGCTTGGCACTCTTCTGCCTGCCCTTCCCAGAGCTGGATCTGAACTCAGGGCCGGCCCTGGGTCCTGGGGCTCTTTCCCCAATACCCTCGGTTTCCGTAGCTGAGAAAAGAGCCAGATCTGGAGTCCAGGATGCTGACCAGGCCGGAGGTTGTGGGCCTGAGCTAGCAGTGACCGCGTTACTCACGCACACTGTCTATGCACTTCATCATTGCGGGGTCTGCTCTGCTCCCGCCTCCGGGCTTAAGGCCCCCACCCTCCCACCCCCTGCTAGACACGTCCCCCCACTTAGAACCCCTGGAAGGTGCAGCAGCTACTGGGGACACTGGAGACGTGGGCGTGCTCTGCCTGAGCAGCCACCTGGAGCAGGGTCCCTTGGCCACAAACACTAGTGCTTGGTGTCGGTCCCTGCTGATGCTGGGGCTGGGCCTGGGTTTGGGGTGCAGCCAGGTGACTGAGCAAGGCATGACTCATGACTCTGGCCACTGCCGGGGTTCCCGAAGCCACCAGCCCCAACACATCAGCCTCTGTGTCATCTGAACCGCCATGGAGGATGAGGGGGCAGGCCCAGGCACTGGCCGTTGGCTTGGCCACCAGGTTGCTGAGTAGAACCCCAGTGCTTGGCGACAGGTGTCCGGAGCCAAAGGAGCTGTTGAGTGAGGAGGCGAGGAGGAGCACGGAGCCACTGCTGTCTATGGTGGCCAGGACACTGCCCACAGGGGTCACGGGAGCTTGCAGGGGCGCTGGGCAGGGGTCGGGGCTGGGCCCTCCAGAGCGCAGGGCTGCCTTCAGCACTGTCAGCAGCTCTGGACCAGCTGAGGGGCCGGGGGTGGTGGACAGGAGGCCCTGGGGCATGGCTAGCTGCAGTGCGGGCTCCAGGGCGGGCGTGGGCCCAGACGGGGGCCCCTGCAGCCCCAGGTCTCTGACCAGCAGGCTCAGCAGGGCGTCCCCGGCAAGGTCTGGGGTGGGGGCAAGGGCTGCTCTGAGCAGGACAGCTGCCAGTTTGGGGTTGGTGGCTCGAGCCCCGGGGCCCAGGGGCGTCCCATCGGCATGGCACAGTAGTGGACAGAGGCCCTTTGTGCCCCGGGCTGCCAGAGCCGCAGCCAGGGCTGCATCCACCAGGAAGCCCTCTCGAGCCAGTGTGGCGGGGCCCACCAGCAGTTGCGGCCAGGGCAGGCGGCCAAAGTGCGTGTGCAGCAAGTGCAGGGTGGACAGAGCGGTCGGCAGCCCCAGGCCAGGGCTCAGGGTCTGGGCCGGGCCGGACGTCAGGGCAGTTGGACTGCGCGAGGTGCTGTTGTAGAAGAGACCCCAGAACATGGCACCTGGAGGAGACAGAGGGGTCACACAGGACTCAGTGGCCCTGGGCCGGGGTCACTCAGTGGCCCCAGGTGAAGGTCGCTAACTGCAGTCAGGAGTTATTCTCTGAGCCTGGAGACGGGGGTTGTTAAGTAGGCCCCAGGGTCAAGATCATGTGCACCGCGGAGCAGGGGCCACAGCCTAGGTCCTGCCAGTACGCGGCCTTGAGGTCAGGGCCCGAGTTCCAGGTCACCGAGCACGCCTGGGGTCGTGGGGCACTGACCTAGCCCTGTGGCATGAGGGTGCACCACTGCCAGACACAAAGCTGCTCCCACTCCTGCGTCCACGACGTTGCCGCCGGCGACAAGCAGCTCTCGGCCCAGGTGGGAGCACGTGGCTACAGCCAGGAAGACACTGTCTTGGGGAGTGGCCTGGGACCAAGGCCCCGGGCCCTCCCCTCCCCTCCCCGGAGCAGCTCCCCAGCTCTGACCTGCAGGGCTGACGATGGCACCATGGTGGTACACGCCGGGGTGGTGGGAGTGCCCGCCGGGCCGGGGGGCTGCTGAGCCCAGGCTTCCTGTAGGGTTACCCCTGGTGTAGAGTTGCCTCGCAGCCAGGGAGAAGCCAACAGCCAGCAGCAGCAGGGCGGCACCGAGGCGGGCCCAGGCCCCGGTCAGCCCGCCAAACTTGTTCCTGCTGAGACGGGTGTCCTGAGCCAGGGCTGGGGCAGGGGTCAACCAAGAGTCCCGAGAGAACCCAGCGAATACTTCCCAAAGGGTGTGGCCTTACTTGCGAGAGGAGTGCACGTTCGCCAAGGACAAGGGCCTCCTGGCACAGCGTAGAGGAGACGTGGGGATCGGAAGGGGCTTGGGGAAACAGGACAGCCAGGGAGGGAGTCTCTCTGGGGAGGAGGTCGGAGAGGCAGGGCTGAGCCAGGCAGGAGGGAGGCCTGAGGTGGACTTGGCCAGCTTGAGGAGCAGAGCCCAGCTGGGTGTAGCCAGGCTCCAACCTGCCCAGCAGGTGCCTCCTGCGCCAGGGGTGGGGCCTGGGGACCTTTGACAGAGCAGCCGGCACGCCTGGCTTGGGACAAATGTCCCTTCAGACACACAGACCTTGGACTGACTGGTGGAGACCAGGTCTGGGGCTGCAGTGTGGCTTCTCCCCATTCACCCAGAAAGCTCCCGGAGCCGAACCAAGAGTGGGGGTGTCCGCCCTCTGTCCCCACCTTAGGGGCCCCGGAGGGAGGGACCTGCCAGCCTCAGGCCTGAGGTGCCGGGTGCCCAGGCCCCTCCTTGACTCACCCCAAGGAGTCGTGGGGCCTCCGGGTGTCGGGAGCGACCAGCTCTGATGTCTCCTCCTCCTCATCGTCCTCAAACCCCAAGCTGGGGTCCCAGAGAAGCAGCTTTTGGTAGAGCACCGGCCCTGCGGGCGGTTCCATGGCCTCGCGGTGTGCACACCGGCTCTGCAGCCTGCCAGCCTCCCTGTGGAGTCCCGGCCTCGCCTGCGCTTGGCTGGGGGGGGGGGGTGGAGGCAGCCTTGGGGAAGGGTGGTGTGGAATCTAGAACAGGTCTGGGCAGGGCACGAGGCCAGGGAGGCTGCGTGCGAGACTGCCCCATCAGGGCACAGGCCTGGGGGCTCTCGCAGCTCCGTGAGGAAGGAGGAGCCCAGCCCCGGGGACCACAAGCCGCGAGCCTGAGACCCAGCTGGGACTCCTGCTGGACCCCGCCCTCCGGGGAGGCAGCCGCTGGATCCCCCGCCTGTTTGGGACTCAGTGTGGCTTGGGTCAGGGCTAAGCATGTGACTGGGAGCCTGTGTGGGTGAGTCCGGCCTTCTCTGTCTGGGGAGCAACCTGGAGGGTGGGGAAGGTGACACCGTGGCATGCCGTGCGGCTCTTGCCCAGCGGGTGGCACTGCAGACCTCCTGGGCCCACGGCCCCGACCCTGAGTCCCCAGCACCTGCTCCGCGGTGAGGTCTCACCGCCCAGAAGGCTGCTGTGCGACACGCCGTGAACCCCAGGCTCGGCGCGCTCGTCCCCTGTGGCGACCCGTCTCCCCATGAGCACGTCACACCTCCAGCTCCCCAGCCTCAAATCCCGACCCTCCGACGCGCCCCAGTGGACAACCCCACCTCCCATGTCATGCAGCCACATCGAGGCCACCCCCACTGGGTTCTCTCCCCACTGCAAGGGGAAAGCCATTCGCGGCCTCTGGTTCTGGCCCCGGCCCCTCCGGGCTCCGGCCCCCCGCTGGCCCAGGACCCCACGGCCTCACTGACCGTTTCTGTCCCGCAGCTTCATGATTTCCACGCTGGTTCCTTGTCTACAACGCCTGGAGGGCGAGAACACAGACACTCTCCCAGGTACGGGTATGCGGCCCGCCCCATGTCCCGCTGCAGGACGTGGGCAGGCGCTCCTCAGGTGAGCGCGGAAATACAGGTGCGTCTCCCGAGCAGTGATGCGGGGCCGGGGCCAGGTGGGACGACGCATTCTGTCTGCTGCTAGGGCACAGAGATCGCAGGGCAGGTGGTGACTGGGGGAGGCACAGAGGGTCTCTGGGATGCAGGTGAGGTTGTTTCTTAGTCTGACGTGGGCTTCCCGAATGTGCCGATTGTGGAAATGCATCCAGCTGTGCATTTATGGCACAGGCTCTTGTCTGGAAGTACATTTTATTCAATTTTATTTTTTTAAAGCTCAAGTATTTTCTACATTGAAACAATCACAGAAATCGTCCAATGCCGCGTGGTTCTCCGCCCCTCCCCCTTTCTCTTGGCCTCTTCACGAGCAGGTGGGGTGTTCTCCACTTCGGGTGCATCGGAATCACTCAGGGGGTTTGTGAGATCCGAGTTTTGACCCTGTAGGTCTGGGGTAGGCACCACGAATCTGCTTTCCTAACTCCCGGGTGATCCCGGGACCACAATCTGACCCACAAAAAATCATGGACACCTGCTGCCTTCCACTTCCCCTCAGCTCACTCTAAGCTGGTTTCCGGGGTTTCTGATTTCTCGGCCCAATAAAAACTGAACCAACCATATGGAGATACCAGCAGAGGGTCGCCTCCTTTTTGTTTGCCAAGGGGATGTGTGTGTGGGAGGGGGTCACAAAGACCATCTGCTCTCATTTCATAAACCAAGGGAAGGTTACAATCTCAGAATGAAGGTCGGTCCTTCCTTCCTAAGATCTTGTCCAGTTTCTGCCACGGACTCACCACGTGGCTGTGGGGAGTCTTGACGCCACTTCTATAAAACAGGAGTGACAACATCTGTCCTCCTGGAGCTGAGGCATGAATCAAACCAGGAGATTCTCTGAAAACCCTTAGGCCGGTGCCTGGTACACACTGGACGCTCCAGAGACATGCGTTCCTTCCTCGGACCGCGATTTATAGGAAGAGATCTAGGTTTCCTCATCCTGTTTCCGGCGCAGAGCTCCTAAAACTCTTGGAACTTCCTAAATGCTGAGAGACCTAAAGGTGCCTTTTGTTTGTTAATGGGGTGGCATGTGGACCCCACCTAAGGGGAGGCTGGAGGCCAGGAGAACTCCCAGTCCCCCCACTGACCAATGCGGACGGATGACGGGCTGGAGGTCGAATCAATCACCAAAAGTCAATGGTTTAATCAATGGTGTCTAAGTAATGAAGCGTCCACGAAAGCCAAAAATAGGGTGAGCGCACGGGGGTGCTGGCGGGTGGGGCTCCTGGAGGGGGCAGGGCGGCCCTGCCCCTGCCCCACACCTCGCCCTGGCCTCTCTCCCCCCTGCTGCCCCTGAGTTGTGCCCTTTATTATAAACCGGTGATCTAATGAGTAAATGAGTTTCCTGAGCTCTGTGAGCCGCTCTAGCAGATTAACAGAACCTGAGGAGGGGCCACGGGAGCCTCTGATTCACAGCTAGTCAGTCGGAAGCACAGCCGACAACGTGGACCTGCGCTTGGCCCATCCAGTGGGCAGGGCTGGGGTGCGCGGTCTTGTAGGACTGAACCTTTACCCTGGGCAGGGACTCTGACCTTATCTCCGGGTACACAGGGTCAGAAATGAGTGGAGGCCAGGAGAACCCGCTGGTGTCTGAAAACCCGCCCCCACCCCCCACTGGAATTGGGTCCAGGAAGCAATTACTCCCTCTGTGGCTTTAGGGCTTCAATCTCACGATGCTAAAGCGGTCTGGATAATTCACACCCAGCAACCCCACGCACACACTCACAGGTGGCCCTCCCTCTGAGTATAGGACTGAAGATGCATTCATTCCTTTTCCTAGCCTTGGGTGCACATTAGAATCACCTGGTGAGCTAACCCCCCAATATCCAGGAAAAACCAATTAAATAATTAAATCAGAATCCTTAGGTGGGTGATTCATCTGTATGTTTAAAACGTTTCTCAGGTGTTTTCAGTGTGTAGCCACCGTAGGGGACAGCTGCCTTATCTAGCCCTCTAGTGATTTTTGCAACAGGAACAATTCCATCAATTTTCTTTTTGAGAGAGAGAGAGAGAGAGAGAGATGGAGCGCAGGTGTGTGCACCTGTGCCTGAGGCAGGGAGGGGCAGAGGGAGAGAGAGCAAATCTTAAGCAGGCTCTGAGCTGGGTTCGATCTCAGGACCCTGAGATCATGACCGGAGCCGAAATCAAGAGTCAGACGCTTAACACTGAGCTATCCAGGTGCCCCTCTGTCAATTTTTTTTTTAAGTTTTTCTTTAAGTTCCAGTTAGTTAACATACAGTACAATACTAGTTTCAGGTGTAGCATTTAGTGATTCAACATTTCCATATATCACCCTGTGCTCTTCACACTCCATCAGTTTTTTAAAATACGACGATCCAGGGGTGCCTGGGTGGCTCAGTCGTTAGGTGTCTGCCTTCAGCTCAGGTCATGATCCCGGGGTCCTGGGATGGAGCCCCGCATCGGGCTCCCTGCTCCACGGGAAGCCTGCTTCTCCCTCTCCCACTCCCCCTGCTTGTGTTCCCTCTCTCGCTGTGTCTCTCTGTGTCAAATAAATAAAATCTTTAAAAACTAAAAATAAAAAAATAAAATACCACGATCCTGGTCTGCCCCCTCCCCCACCATCAAGCACCAGCTGAGTCAGTATCTCCACAAGTGAGCCTCAGTCATCATGAGGCTTTGAAAGCTCCCCAGAGAACTGCTGCTAGAATTACGCCCTCACAGACCCATTTCTCAGGCGTGCACGGGTACCTCCTCTGAGGCTGGGTTGTCCCCCAGTCCACAAAGCACATCCTCCAGGCTCTGGTTGCTCCATCCAACCAAAGGGGTCCCAGAGGCAAGGAAGGGTATGGGGCCAGCGGTCAGCAATCCTCCAGGCTCCTGAAGGTCCGGGGAAGGCTTTCCTGCTCAGCACCCCTCCAGCTCAGGCCTGCCGGGTGCGTGCACGGGTGCGTGCACACACCTTTCTTCGGGTTGACTTTATAATTGACCCCCGGGACACGCTCAGATTTGACTCTGGTTATAGGAGGGAACGAGTAGAAGGACTGGCTTTTCCTCTCAAGGTGATTCTGTGTGAGGTCCCCAGAATATTGGTATGAAAAAAAAATACTCCAGGTGATTCCAGTTGCAGGAACCACTGAAAACGGTTTTGAACAAGTCAGGAACAACCTGAACAGAGAGAGGATGCAGTGTTAAAATGAGTGTATGCCATTTGCCATAGTAATTGTGCACCTGGGAAATGAAATAATCATGTCTTTCTGGGATTATTAAATGCTGGTGTAAGCTAGTAATTTCTGAATGCCACTGTGGTCCACCAGTCAGAATGGGGACAACGATGCTGTTTGGTGTTGGTCTCAGCCCGTCAACCAGCAATGCTGCGGCTGGACGGGCCTTTGTGGATCTTACTATGTTGTGAGACACCCTTCAAGAGCCGTCAGAAAACTGCAGGAACAGGGGCGCCTGGGGGGCTCAGTCGGTGAAGCGTCTGCCTTTGTCCCAGGCCCTGATCTCCGGGCCCGGCATTAAGCCCCGCGTCGGGCCCCCTGCTCCGCGGGGGGCCTGCTTCTCCCTCTCTCTCTCCCTCCCCACTCCTCGTTCTCTTTCTCAAATCAATAAATAAAATCTTAGAAAAGAGAGGAAACCGCAGAGACAAAGGTCTATTACATACAGGACCTGGAAATTACAGAGCACACCTGGGCCACACAGTGAGGGGGTCTGAGCTTCCGCTTTTGTTGGGGTTGAGGATGGGGCCTGGGGCTCACTCTTTATTAGTGAATTTAAAACATGACAGTGGGAACTTAAAATGCAGGCGAGAAAAGACTAGTGGCCCAAATAGCCAATTATTGAAATCAACCAAGATCTCTAAAACGAAGGAGCAGTTTGCTCTTGGGGGATGGCCCATAACCACCCCCTGAACTGAATACAGGGCGAGCCCGTGCGTTTTCTGGACAGCCTCTGTCAGCAAACATTCCCAGGTCACTTCAAGTTACAAAAGTCTCATTTCAGTAATTGCAAGGA